CTGCACTTAAGTACAATATATATATATATATATATAAAAAAAAAAACTGACCGGCTCACATTTAAAAATTGGTCCGGCTTTTTTGGCATTTGCCAGTATTGCCAGATGGCCAGTCCGCCCATGGCCACTGTGCAAGCAAAAAGTTCAACACAAAATTTGAGCTACATATAACTTCATGACAAACACTCTGCATAAAATAAAGACAGAATGTGTCGGACAATTGAGAACCCCTGTATGCTGGATTCAGTAACCAGTGCACATATCCCCTGCCGCTGCTTGGTGTGTGAGTGTATGTGTGTGCATCCATACATTTGACGTACTGCCCATAGACATCTCAATAGAAAGCAAGGTCTGCTTTCGGTCCGTTGCTTCGACACGTCAACGCAGCCGCCATCTATTACAATGTCTGTCTAGTCCTGCCAGTCTCAGTTCTGGATTCGTTTACGTATGTGAATGTGTGAAATATCACAAGCAATGTCTGAAAATTCCACAGATTTCCTGAAATAAACCTGCGTTTCAGGATAATCCAGCACAGGCCTTTGATAATGAGCTGAACTCTCCTTCCTCTCTATGCAGTATTTAAAGAACACAATATGCAGCCTGTTCCTCTTTCCGTTTCTAGAACAAAGCATCACTGCTTGAACTGCCTCTGAAATGTTTTTTTGTAAAGTTTTAATTAATACGCATTGGACTCAGTTTTTTATGTGACAAATTTTTCGCATATGACTGCAAAAAAAATAATAAATAAAAATAAAATAAATTCAGACTTCAGTGTGCAAAGACTTTAACGAGCCCCTATTTTGGGTTTTGGAAAATGACTTTCCATGTAGTGTATAGCACAGCTCTAAGTGAAGGGAAATACCCAGCTAAGGCTTAAATCTGAAAGTGCACCATGTTTAAAACTATTGATTCAACGATAAAGCAGTCAACTTAGTGGCTTGAATAAATCGTCGCTCTAACAAGTCTTTAGCCGTGCCGGTGTGATGTCGATATGAAACTTAAGCCCCGCCCATTTGTTGCATGCGCAAACCCAGGAACATTGAAATCCTCAGCCTGGCCCACAAACACTGTGGAAAGAAAAAGATGAAGACAAACAGTGTAGCAGATCCTAGTTAAATCATGTCGCGAAGACGCTGTGCTCTGAAGTGTGAGGGGAAAGTTAGCGTTGTTTTCTCTACCCAAAGATAAGGCTGTAAAGAATGAGTGGTTGAAGTTTATTTTTGCAATAATACCTCAGCATTATAGCCCCAGCCTTGTGCTGTGTCCCCGTCCTTTTTCTGACAAGTGCTTCAGCAATCTACACACAACGGGGCATTCATCTGTCGTTTGTAAAGGAAGAAAAACTATTGATGTATGAGACTTTATCAGAGCTCCACAGGAACTTTATCAATATGCAGTTCATGAATTAGTTTCTTCCTCCATTTCCCAAGTTTAAGTAACCTAAGTGTGATTAAAATGGCTGCCTCCTTGTTTTCTCTAGCTTGCAAATTTCGTATTTATATTTTGTTGCTTGTAACCGCTTGTACTGTATCTGGTTACATTTACATTTACATTTAGTCATTTAGCAGACACTTTTATCCAAAGCGACTTACAAAGGAGGACAAGGAAGCAATTTACACAACTATAAGAGCAACAATGAATAAGTGCTATAGGCAAGATTCAGATCTGTAAAGTCTAAGAAGTAAAGTATTAGTATTTTTTTTTTTTTTTTTTTTTTGAGTACAGTTATTGGTATATCCAGAGAGGCAATTGCAGATTAGGAGGTGAAGTGGAGACTAAATAGTTGAGTTTTTAGTCGTTTCCTGAAGACAGACTCTGCCGTTCTGATGCAGTTAGGGAGTTCATTCCACCAACTGGGCAGATTGAATGCGAGAGTTCGGGAAAGTGATTTCTTCCCTCTTTGGGATGGAACCACAAGGTGACGTTCATTCACAGAACGCAAGTTTCTGGAGGGCACATACATCTGCAGAAGTAAGAGCAGATAAGAAGGAGCAAAGCCAGAAGTCGCTTTGTAGGCAAACATTAGAGCTTTGAATTTGATGCGAGCAGCAACTGGCAGCCAGTGCAAACGGATGAGCAGCGGAGTGACATGTGCTCTTTTAAGTTCATTGAAGACCACTCATGCTGCTGCGTTCTGGAGCAGCTGAAGAGACTTGATAGAGTTAGCTGGAAGCCCAGCTAGTAGAGAGTTGCAGTAATCCAGTTTGGAGAGAACAAGAGCTTGAACAAGGAGATGAGCTGCATGTCCAGATAAGAAGGGTCGGATCTTTCTGATGTTATAGAGTGGGAATCTGCACGATCGAGCAGTTCTAGAAATGGTTCTAGTTCTAGAGCAGTTCTAGTTCTGGTTAACTCTTTATATTCTCATATCGCGTCTAATGCTGCTTTGTTTACAGATTTAAATGCATTTGTGACCGTTTGTCATTGCTATGGCCACCGTCAGCTGTTCCTACACAAGAAGTTAGTCGCTACAAGTAGTTCAGCTTTTGCCACTGTGTGGATTAATACTGAATGCGTGTTGTTGTTATTACTTATGGTTATATATGGCAATATGCTGGTGTTAAACTGCATTGCTTTAATGCTCTCCTGCACTGGGCTCACACATACACTCTGCACTCTGACTATTTCAACAATGTTGATAAGCTGTGGTGGATATTTCTCCCTCGCTGATTCTCAATGTGCTTCTTCAACAGTCTTGCATCCTCGTGTAATGTCATCATCACTGCCAAAGTTCAGTTCCAATACTCAAGACTGCAAGAACGGAGGACGCGTAAAACTTCCCGGATGTGATCTTGATATCGAGGACGCATCGATGCAGACTTGGGCACCAAACTCACTCTAGAAGTCCGTAAAGTTATTGCGACCAGAGGTGGAAAGTGTAGCATTTTATATAAGTTCATTATTAAAGTTTAGAGATATAACTGATTTATCTCAGGAGTTTCCCTGAATGAAATAGTGAAAGTAAACATTACCTTGAAGAAAACAAGAACAAAACAAGAAAAAAAAGGAGCATGGTATGCTTTATGTCGGTAGGCAACGACTGAATCAGCTGGGTATTGTTCGAGAGTGTTGCTGTTTATATTAATATAATTTTAATAATTAATAATGTCGTGATATTCATGATTTGTGAAGTTATACAGCTCTGGACAACCCAAAACAGCAACCCCAAGTGTCTCCTCCATCTTCAAAAGTCTCCGTTGTTGTCTTGACAAAACAAACACTGCAGGACCCTCAACGGAAACCCTGCATCTGTTTTCCTTTGCTTGGAGAATGAAACGGACACGAGTGACGTAACATGCTTTTTTCTGCTCGGAGTTGACTCTTTTTTTCAACTGAGAGCGCACAGCGCGCAAAGGCCAAAAACGGAAGGCACAGCAGGCGGTTAAAACGCAAGACGCGCATGGCGCAGCATGCAAAACAATCGCAGCCGTTAGTAAACCATTCAAAAGAGGCGCCTCTCAACGTATAAAGTGCGTTCGGTGTGATCGGCCCCTAAGGGTGTTTATTTGCTGAAATTCGTATTAAAATCGTATGAAATTCGTTTATATTGTGCAACGTATATTTCTAATGTTTTTATGCAGTTTATATATTTTGAAAACGGGAAAAACAATAAATCGTTGCCTAAATGTTGTAATGTTTAAATGATTTTCCATTAAAAATGCGTGAAGGTCACGTGACCATTAGGAAGAATCAAGGAAGAACGCAGCATCTCATTACTCACAGGACGCATTCTTTGTTCTCGTAGTTTCCCGAGTTTGTTCTTCAGAGGACACCTGGCAAGAACGGTCTCCACAAGAACGCAAGCCAGTTCTCTGTTTTCTAGGAACTGAGAAACAGCCTCTGTCTCACGCTGAACGCAGTCGACCAATCACAACAGACTGGGTCATCGGACCAATCAATGCAGATTAGCATCGCACTAAGGAGAGGTTTGGGAACAAATGAATCACTGAACGAATCATATGGGAGTCGTTGGTATAATTAAGTAAAAATAAATGCATAAGACAATAGCCCCTTTTACACAGTGATACCGGTAAATATCCGGAAAATTTCCGGAACGACTTTACCGGTAAATTAAAAAAAGCGCTGTTCACACAGGCGAGGACGTTACGGAATTTACGTCCAGAAAAGAGCATTCACACATCCATCGCAAAATGCCGGTAAATTCTGACATCATTAACCAGAAATGAGCTCTAAACGGCTGCGCTTGTGTTTGTAAACATTTGACTACATCACAAACTCTTTGGATGGATCAGTATTGAGTACAACTCCAATGAAAACATATAGAGGAACACTTTCGCATGTCGAGATGTTCATGATATGTGTGTGTGTTCGCGCTATATATGGGCGCTCACAGGCACACGCAAAGCTTGAAGGTAAACAAACAACGGATAATCATAAACATTTTATCGATAATTATTTACACAGTTAGCATTAAGGAGGAACATAGAAACGTGATCTGACTAACATCTAATTACTAAAGGTGTCTGTAAAAATATTCAAAGGCTTTTATTCTCATAAACCGCGCGCACGTGAATGCGTCTGACTGTTCTGATTGGCTAAAGCAGGTGTCTCACGTCAGCACGTTCTAGACGTGGACGCGCTCTTTCCGCCAATCTTCCTTCTGCATTCACACAGCGCAGCATTCCGGCAAATTACCGGTAATGTTACAACTTCTCTTTCCGGAAAATAGCCAGAACGAATTTACCGGTATTTTAGAAAAAGGGCCTGTTCACACATACAACCTTTCCGGAAAATTGCTGGTAATTTTCCGGAAAGGTCTGTATGTGTGAAAGGGGCTAATGACAGTGTTTTTTGACCTTGCATGCATATTAGCTTGTTGTTGGAGACCCCCAAAACCAAAGTATGACCCTTTTTAATGCATAATAGGGGCTTTTTAACTCATTTTCAGGCTGATTCTATCATCCGTTTTACTGTAAAGCTTATTAATAATCTCTTTAACAAAAGTGACACGTAAGTGGTATTATATAAAGGTGTTTTACCGTGTTGCTGGAGTTCCCATTTAAATGCAAACCACTGTCGAAAAGCGGCGACGAGGCCCTGCTACTGTGATCACTGGACGGTCCAGGTGAACCTGAGGAAAAATACAGCAGATTATTACATAAAGCAGAGCTCGTGCTGTGTGCAAATCTCCTCTGCTCTTTAAATCCGTGCGATATGATGCGTATTAACTTTTGCAAGCGGCTTTCCAGGTTTGTCACGATGCCACGGACTCTGAAGTCACAGGAGATTATGGCTGAGGTGAGTGTGAAATACTGAAGACGCAGGAGTTTTGACACGGCCATCGCTGGAAAATGCAGAGTGAAAAATACATTTCATGCCGAGGATCTCTGAAAGTTTTATGCACACCGATGCTGCTGTGCATCTCATTGAGTCTCCAGAGATTCAGCAGTGCTGCCTGTGATGAGCTCTTACAGTATGTGGGCTGCATTCAACTCTTTTGCACGGAAAAAAAAAGTGGGATTTTGTGCTTTTCTGGTTTTTATTTTGCTATAAATACAGGGAGCTTTTAAGAGCAGGTTTAACAAAATGGAGAGTAAAGAAAACACAAGAAAACACACATAAAATTGAAATAAAATGGTTATTTAGCAACTGTTTATTTTACTAATTATATACAGGGCTTGACATTAACTTTTTGATCACTAGCCACTGTGGCTACCCTAGTAGCAAAGAATTCTGGCCCAGATTTGGCATAAAGCTGGCACAGCAGGCATTCATCCGGCACTGGCATACAGCATGTGGGCCAAACATGGCCCGGGTTTGGCAGAGGTGGCACCGTTTTTAAGGCGGCACACAAGATTTGGGCCAGATGTAAAATGTAGTATTTGGCCCAGATTTAAAAATTTGATAAGTGGGCCATGTGAATTTGGCCAGTCTTGACCCACATTTAAAATACACTAAAATCATTTTTGAGTAAAGAAAAAAAATTCTACCAATCAGGTCACTTTGAGAAAAAGCGTGCCCATAGTGTGCCTAAAGCGCATCACTCCATGGGTTTATCAATTTCATTGCAATCGTGACACACCAACCTATCTGGCCCAGTTCAGGCCCAGTTATGAGTTATTAACTTGGCTGAGACTTGGCCCAGATATGGTCTGTGTTTGGCCCTTGTCTGGAAGCCAGATTTGGTCCAGTCATGTACCGTAATTCACTGCGGCATGTGGGCCAAGCAAAACCTGATTGTGTGGGCCAGAGAAATTTTGCTATGTGGGTAGTAGATTTCCAACATTACTAGCCACTTGCCATTTTCACTAGCCACAATTTTTTTGCTTGAAAAATATATTTTATATTAATAAATGTGACTTTGACATGGTAAAATGACTTGATTTAGTTGTGTTGTCCACATACCTCCTCAATAATTTTACTGTTTGTGTGTGTTGTGTATGAGCTTGCTCACTGTGCATGAGCAAATGGGTTGTGTCACATTGCAATTGGCTTTTATTTCACATGACTTTTTTGGGCTCAGAATTATGGATTTACCAAATTTATCTCTGACCACACCAAAAAGATATAATTATTTCTTAGCCACACATTTTAAATGTGTCAAAACAAGCAAATATATAGCTGTATACATGCACTTTTTATTCAACAAAACTTTAATTTTTTTTTTTTTATTGACATTTAAAAATCTCTATTGCAGGGGTCTCAAACTCGCGGCCCGCAGGCCATTTGCGGCCCTAAGTGCAATATTTTGTGGCCCGCGCCGACCACTGTACACTGACAGAATATGCGGAGCGGGGAGAGAGAGCGCTCCCCGCTCCGCTGATTCTATCCGTACACAGCGGTCACTGGCATTCCCCGCCCGCCGTGTAAACAAAGGGGCGGGGATGTCGGTGACGTCACCTCGCACCCCGCCCCTTTGTTAGACGCTGTGACGGGCGGGAAGGAGGGAACTCGCGCCGGCCAGAACCAAGGTAAGCTGTTCCCGCCCCTGCCTGCCACTTAGCTACCTATCTGCAGCCTGCCACCTACCTAGCTACAGCCTGCATCTTATATATATTATAGGTAGATACAGACTGGTACAGACTGATGTGACTGGAGTGGGGTGGGGGTGTTTTATTTATACATTTATACGCCTTTTTTTAGGTGAGGGCAGGCACGTGCACACATAGGGCTCAACCTGTGCAGTGCACATGCCTTTTTTAGTCTTGGATAGAAAGTGCCCTTCCAAAATGATCAAAAGTGCCCCCGCGACGCGGCACACCTTCGGTCCCGCCCTTCAGTAGGCGCGCGACAACACAGCTCTTGAGTACGCGCGCGACAACACAGCTGATCAGTACGCGCGCGACAACACAGCTGATCAGTACGCGCGCGACAACACAGCTGATCAGTACGCGCGCATCCACTCTGCAGTGGGTGAGGGAATGGAAGTTTTGATTGATTTCCCCCAAGCCATACTGAGGGTCTCAACTGCTTCCGCTCTAAAGCCAAATGTGGTTCAGATTTGTGAGAAGAAGCGCTGTCAAGTCTCTGGCAGCAAGGAGTAGGCAAAAGATGCCATGTTCAGAAGAACTGTTCATAATCTTCACTCAATGTTCTGTTAATGTTCAGGACACTTCATGTTCAGAAGAAATAATTAAATCTGTTAATAATGACATTTGAGGACTTTTTTTTGGTGAAATCCCTTATGCGGCCCAGCCTCACCCAGACTTTGCCTCCTGCGGCCCCCAGGTAAATTGAGTTTGAGACCCCTGCTCTATTGTCATGTATCTAAAATATGCACAGTAATCGGTCCTGGCTAAAGGTCCCACATCAGCGGTTACATAAATGGGAAGTTAATTTAACATTAAAACATTTTTTTTTTAATGTAAATGATGATAATTAAACTATATTAACAAAATAACTAAGCAAAAGAAAGCAGGTAACATACCACATATCACGAGTGATAATGACAGGATGATCACGTGCCTGAGAATAATTCAAACGAAAGCAGTGACTGCTGCTGCTGCTTATAAAAGGTTTGCTGCTTACACGAGTATCACTTTTTGTCTATTCAATTTCAAAGAGAACCGATCGCATTAGTTAAGCTTCCTCTACACACTTTTTAACAGTCGCGCGCATCACATCACCTGCTCGCGAGTAATCATCCTCTCATAAGGAATTCACCTGCTTTTGCTCGCGCAAACAGTTATTTTTGTCAGTCGCGCTGCTACACGATTCTAAGATCACATTTGTACGCATAATTGGGACATCCTTATTGTCGAACCCTGCTTTAAGAAAACTACAATGTAACTATTATTTCCAACCTGCCAAAGTGGCTAGTGGGAGCGGCTGTCTAACCCGCCAAATCACTGAAATCTATTTGCATTTGGCGGGTTGGCGGGTGTTAATGTAAAGCCCTGATTATATACAAATGTTGATGAAACAAAAATGTATGCCTGACAGTATTGTCACCTATCCTACTTTTAGGAACAACAAATAATGAGACTTCTAGTTGATCATTTAGTACCATAAGTGGCTTAGGGCCTACTCACACTATGCCATCCGTATCGTGCCCAGGCCCGTTTCCTGGATCGTTTGAGAAGTGTGAGTACGCTTAATCGGGCTCAAGCACGGTTCACTTGGCCGGCCCTGGCCCGGTTGGAAGAGGTGTGCCTGAGCGCGGTTCACTTGGGCTTTGGCGCGGTACGCTTGTGTGTGAGCGCAAAACGCACCGAAGCCCGAAACTGAAAGCGAGACGTGACTTTTAAGGGGCTGTTTCATGTGGATTTATTAATCATTCTTACTGTTCAGTGAACGCAAACTGCCGTAGTTTATTAAAGACGCAAACCCCTCACTGCACATCAGCTGCGCGCCTTCAGCAGACCTCCTCATTCCTGCAGCACGAGGGCTTTATGATTGTTTATGCGCGCCAAAAGTGGCGGATCTGTTCGGCGAAATATCTGACTGCGTGTCACCGCATCCCTGAGGACTGTTTGGCGAAATATTTGACTGCATGTCACTGCATATCAAACCGACTGACACGATATAACTAGAGAAATCTCCACTGTGCTACTGGGTGAGAGCGTATGGCAAGCCGTTTTAGCATTTAAACCTCGTTCTGACTATCCATAAATATATTTAGAGATATCTAATTATATTTTGTCTAGTCATAATTATAATTCGACTGGTCAGAATGACAATTAGAGATATGTGCAATTACAATTGTACTAGTACGAAATCAGATTGGAGATATCTGCAAATATATTATGACTAGTCATATTCCTCCATTGACTTCCATTGAAAAATATTTGCAGACATCTCTAAATGAGTTTTGACTAGTCACAATTGTAATTAGAGATATCTCCAAATGAATTTTGACTAGTCAAAAATTCAATTCAAGATATCTACAACTGTAATTCGACTATTAGTAAATTAATTAGAGATATCTTCAAATATATTTGTAAATATCTCTAAATATGACGAATTAAAAACATCTCCAAATGTATTAAGATTAGTAAAAACTCAGTTAGAGATATCTCTAATTACAATTGTTACTAGTCAAAATTCATTTGGAGATATCTCTAATTTATGGAGTCAGAACAAAGATTTAAATGCTAAAAAGGCTTGCCATAGAGAGCGCTTCTCACTGAAGAGCGCAGCAGCGATGACGTAAGCGTGCCGAGGCCCGATATGGTGTGAGCACGGGCCGTCGGGGGAGACGGGAGGGGGGACAAGCGTGCTTTGGCCCGGTTCGAGGCAACTGTACCTAGTGTGAGTACGGCCTTATACTATATGAAAGGCAAAATGACTAGCCTAGTAAGTCTAATTAACCTAGTTAAGGCTTTCAATGTCACTTTAGGCTGAATACTAGCATCTACTCCCTGTTAAACAGAAATTGAATAAAAAAAACTTTTCAATAAAGAACTCAAATTTAACATGAGGGCTATTAACTCTGACCTCAAATGTATGTAGAGCCTCTAAATGACTCAGCATTGAGTGTGTGTTGAGTTTATGAGGACAGCAGTGTGTTCAGACAGCACAATAGCTGCCGGCTGTTAAGAAGACTCTGCAGAAGTGAATCAGACGCACCTAATGGGAGTTTTAAGAAGGCCGGCGCTTCCCTGAGGTAGCGAACAGTGATGGAGACTTCATCTCCTGCCGTCCGCAACAGATGAACCTGCAGACAACAAACACACAGATCACACTCACAAACTGCTTCAGACTTACACCACATGACAAGACTCCAGCGACAAGTCAAAAGTTTTAATGACATCAGCGTGCAATGTTACAGAGATTTTGTATTATTACAGTAACATACAAACTAAAAATGAATCTGTGTATGTATGAATTGTTCATGTATCTTAGACAATTAGGATGATTATTTTTTTTTATATTTTCATACTTTAGGGTGGTATGGTGGCAGAGTGGGTAGCGCTGTCAACTTACAGCAAGAAGGACACTGGTTCCAGCCCAGGCTTGGCCAGTTGGCATTTCTGTGTGGAGTTTGCATGTTCTCCCCATGTTGGCGTGGGTTTTCTCCGGGTGCTCCGGTTTCCACCACAAGTCCAAACATATGCACTATAGGGGGATTGAGTAAGCTAAATTGTCTAGTGTATGAGTGAATGTCCTGGTCCTCCTGGTTGGGTGTTGAGCTAACGACCCACCTCATAAGAATTACATCTTACAAAACACCAACATGGTGCGGCTAAATATTGTCACGTTTTAGCGTGATCAAAAACAATAAACAAAAGGTGCGGATCCAAGTGCAGATTATTTATTTACAGTGCAACCAACAAGGTGATAAGAATACAAAGTAACAAATAAACGACAAAACCAGAAACTAAATCAGAGACGAGGCTCAGGAAAAACAAACTCAAACAACTAAACCTAATTAGAAAACAGACGAGACAATAACACACAAACTAGACTAATGCAAAATACAAGAACAGGATCAGAATAACAAACTAGGACTCTTAGACTTACTCGATACTCAGACAAGGATGACAAACGACGCGATAACAAACAGTGGTGAAATGGTAGTATAAATAGTCCAGATAATCAACAGTAACACAAAACAGATGTGATGACAGGTCAGTGTAGGTGTTCCGGTGTGTGCGCGGGGCATGTATGAGAATGTAGTTTTTCCTGGGACACTGTAGCGCCTACAAAGTCCTAGTGCACTACAGCGCCCTCAGAAGGTCACAGACGGATGTGACAAATATCTTCTTCTTCTTCTTCTTCAGCTTTAGTCTCGTATGGTTGCGGGGTCGACTCTTTGGAACAAGTCCTTCATTTAGACTTGTCCATATGATAACGTCTTTTTTTTTTTTTTTTACACCTTCCGGCCGGCCTGTCATCTGGGCCTGTCACCCTCATACACTCATACACTATGGACAATTTAGCTTACCCAAGTCACCTGCAGCATGCCTTTAGACTTTGGGGGAAACCGGAGCACCCGGAGGAAACCCACGCGAACGCAGGGAGAACATGCAAACTCCACACAGATATATCAACTGAGCCGAGGTTCGAACCAGCGACCTTCTTGCTGTGAGGCGACAACACTACCTACTGCGCCACTGCTTCACCCCCTGGAGGTAAGCAAGTAAGTATATTTTAATACTTTAAGGTGTGCAATTCATGCTGCTTTGGTGTCAGTTTTAGGAACAAGACAAATCAAATTCATATATCTGTTTTATTGTCGTACAGTTTTTGTTTTAAAAGATTTATTTTGACTGCATGTGTACGATTTCTGTTCGATTATTCATCTGTACATAAACTCATGAACGCCAACCCCTGTTATATAATAATTCATTTAATACAAATGATGTATTTTTAATTATGTATTAAATCTCAAAAGTATGTATATTTTAAAAGTAAAATATGTAAATGCCCATTTCTCCCCCTTAGCGCTTCCCCTTACTTTTTCTGTGTTCAAGTGAAGGGGTAGGGGTGTCCCAATTCTCTTTAGCTTGGAGGCGTAGGACTAATGCTGCGTTCACACCAGATGCAAAAGAAGTGTCAAGCGCGAGTGATTTACATGTTGAGTCAATGCATTAGACATCCTGCGGCGTGATACTCACGAATGAAGCAGCGCCAATGACGCAATTCAGCGAATAAGGCGGTGCGAGTTAAGCGTTTACGAAATTGTATCAAATGTATCGCGTGAAACATTTAAGTACGAAAGTTTGAACTTCAGTGGACATTCGCGCTGCGTTAACCAATCAGGAGCTTGCTCTTGTGGGGGCATGATTGTAACGTAGCATCTGTTGTTGGAGTCCTGGGGGAAATCCTCCAACCCACACCGACAACAGTCCATCAAACTGGGCTCGGCTCAGTCAGAAGCACCTCTGGAAGCCTTCATCATCCAGGTATAGTTTCTGGAGGAGTTTATGAGCTCACAGAGCTGGGAGCACCTCTGAAAGAATCTAGTAGACTCAGACACTCAACGCTGTTTTTCAGCCTTCATAAAGCACAAAAACGCAGTTATTTTCTTAATACAATCCATATTAGCCATTTAGCAATGAAGCTACAGTCACCGGGCGGACAGAAGCCCTACCCATCACTTGAATCCGCTTCTGTTGTTCAGTGAATTTGACGTGCGAATGAAGCGGATTTGACGCGCAAATAAAGCTTGTAAACTCAAAATATTCATGCGTCTATTTTATGCGTGCATTCCTCGTCTGGTGTGAACACAGCATAAGGAAAAGGTCTAGATAGCGCTCAGATTTTTTTTCAGGACCACACTTGAAACCAAGGGGTTAAAAAAAATTCCCAGAGTACAACAGTCACAGCTGAAGAATGGCTGCACACGGAAATCAAGAGATACACAAATTGGTATTGGCTGTCATTATTAAGATTTTTTCCGACAAACAAGCACATGTTTTAATACATTCATAACCGCGTTCACGTTCCACCGTCATGTAGAGCTGCACAATTAATCGTTAAAAGATCGCAATCTAGATTTGACCCCCTAGACGATCTTAATCCAGCATTTCTACGATTCTGCCAATCATATTTTCAAGTTCAGGAGAGAAGTAAAGGTGGCTGCACGAGTCTTTTTATTGTTTCACATACGTTGCTCAGTGACATTGACACCTCCAAATGATGTTGAATGAGTCACATACTGTATTTATAAGGTATAATTCACCTAAAAATTTAATTTTTGTTTTAATATAATGATGTTTTCGCGATCGGGAAATCACACGTGACATGAGCTGCTGACCGTGGAGCTCTTATCACAGAGAGGGCAGGCACGCCCGCTCTACTTAGTGAACAGAACCTCTTATTTTAGTGAACAGAACCTGCATATGTTGCGAGTAACAGGTAATACAGTTGTAAATAATATTCAGTTTGTGGCACAGAGTGATCGTTTGGGAGCCGTGTGCAAAGTATGAACAAGCACTTAGCAGTCAGAATGAAACCGAAAGTGTGCACTTCATTTAAATGATCATATCACATTTTAGAGTTACGATTACGAAAAGCATTTGATGTTTTTTCTTTCATAGTGAACCCACAGTTGTGCATGAAAATAAATGTTTATAATGTTAGTATAACTACTCTAGCCTATATATTGTTGAATATAATCTGATAATGGCAAATGTCTGATTTTACCAGTGAATAAAATTATCCAATATGATAGATTGCAAGCATATATCTCAAACATAATAATTCAACATCAGAATTATTATAAGAATAGATTAATATAGAATAGAATTATTTATAGAAACCAGTAGACCTACACATAATATTATTATTGGTGTTTTGCCATATTATTGTTTTTACCATTCCTTTATTTTACATCTACAGAATCGTGAGAAAATCGTGATCTTTATTTTAATCAAAAAAATTGTGATTCTCATTTTAGCCAGAATCTGGCAGCTCTACCGTCATGATTAAAAAAATTAAAATAAATAAATAAATTTTATATATATATATATATATATATATATATATATATATATATATATATATATTGCTATCTATAATCCATAATCATAACAACATTGTCACTCGATAGCAGTGGAATACCCTGTCAGAAAAGTCTATTGTCTGAGAATGGGCTTTTTACAGTGTCTGGTACTACGCTAATGTTCTTTTCGTGTGTTTACATTGATGAATATGGCCACTGGTTAAATGCACTGTACTGTTACAATCTTAATGCCACAATACATTGTTATGATAACATGAAATCGTTGCCTTCAGTGATTTCCTGTAAATAAATACCAAAAACATAAACAACTGAAATAACTACAGCAGTCACCATTGTCTGATCTCATATGAAACAAGAGATTGCAAAGATCTAGTAGTGCTTTTCCATTTCTTAGGGTTAAATTTTGAAGCCCTTCCCCTTCACACTCGGTTTCAAGGGCCAGAGAGGAAGGGGAAAGCATGGGGGTACAAAAATATAGTTTGGAATTGGGCCCAAGTATATATATTCACACATTTTTTTAATTAGTTTACTCATATTTGAAGCTTTGTTTCATATATTCAGTTTTATAATAATTAAAATAATAATTTATAATTTTTAATCATTTAAATTTATGTGTATGTTTTTTTAATGTTTTTAACACACAACTTTATATCTAATTTCTTTTTTTTTTACTTTATAATAAAAGTATATGAAACATAGCCACAGTGAAATAAACCGTGTGATCCATAAGAAACTAATTGAAGTGTGTTTTATTTCAGTAATCCGATTTGAATTTAACGCTGTAGTGGATCGTGGTGCGGCTCTAGAAAGTACATGGTATACAAATATTCTGATGTCGACTTTTAGTTTTCATTTGATCAGAATCACAGCTAGAAAACACATTTAACTGGACAAATCTGAGCGCTGCTACTCCGTGGAGGAAACATGACACACTTGTTCAGCATTTCCACCGAGAGCAGAAGCTGAAGGAAAACCCAGATTCACCCAGATAAGCCTTCAATCTCTGACAAAGCAGAACAGAACCAGCATATAAGCATGCAGATTTACTGTAACTCTGGCAGAGAAACACTACACTAGAAGACTTCATACTTACAGCTTCTAAAAGTAATGCAAAATAATGAGTGTTAATGTGCAGAGGAGTGAAAACATGGAATGAGTTGTCATCAGACATCAGACAACTTTAATTAAATATTGAAGGTACTGAAACTGTTAAGAGGTTGAATAATCATTGTTTTGATTTTTTTTAACAACAGAGATTATATTAATTTTTTTCCGGCCGTGCAATTAGTGGAAACACAATTTACACATGTACTATGTAATGCAGACCTATTTGCTAAGCAGTTTCAGTGTTACCTTCTTCTACAGTATTACTTCAGCATTACATAAAAAGTATTCATTTCTTCTATTTAAAAAGACTTTCTCTTTAGGGTTCAGCCTAAAGAACCCTAACTGACTGAATGCTTCACCCTAAATGACTGATAACCCCACCCTAATGAACTGATAACTCTGACCTAAAGGACTCATACACCCCCAACCCACCATAAATTACTGACAACCCCACACTAAAGAAGTGATAGCTCCACCCTAAATGACTGATAGATCCACCCTAAATTACTGACAACTCCACAATAAAGTACTGATAGCTCCACCCTAAATGACTGATAACCCCACCCTAAAGTACTGATATCTCCACCCTAAATTACTGATAGCTCCACCCTAAATGACTGATAACCCCACCCTAAAGTACTGATATCTCCACCCTTAATGACTGATAGCTCCACCCTAAATGACTGATAGCTCCACCTTAAATGACTGATAGCTCTACTCTAAATGACTGATAGCTCCACTCTAAATGACTGATAGCTCCACCTTAAATGACTGATAGCTCTACTCTAAATGACTGATAGATCCACCCTAAATGCCTGATAGCTCCACCTTAAATGACTGATAGCTCCGCCTTAAATGATTAATAGTTCCGCCCTAAATGACTGATAGCTTTACCCAACATGACTGATAGCTTCTTTCTAATTGACTGATAGCCTCACCCTAAATAGCTGATAGCCCCACCCTAAAGGACTGTCAACTCCGCCCTAAAGAACTGATAGCCCCACCCTAAATGTCTGATAGCCCCACCCTAAGCGACTTATAGTCCCGCCCTAAATGTCTAATAGCCCCAACCAGACTTATAGCTCAGCCCTAAATGACTGATAGCTCCACCCTCAATGACTGATAGCTGCAACCTAAATAACTAATAGCTTCACCTTAAATTACATAGTTTGCGCTAAATGACAGATGGCTCCGCACTACATGACTGATAGCTGTAACCTAAAGGACTGATAGCTCCGCCCCAAATGACTGATATCTCCACTCTAAATGACTGATAGCTGTAACCTAAAGGACTGATAGCTCCGCCTAAAATGACTGATAGTTCCCCCTAAATGACTGATAGCTCCGCCCTAATGAACTGAGTGCCCCAAAATGACTGATAGCTCCACCTTAAATGACCATCAGCTCCACCCCAAAAGACCAATAGCTCCAGACTAAATGACCAATAGCCCCACCCCAAAAGACCAATAGCTCCAGACTAAATGACCAATAGCCCCACCCTAAAGGACTGATAGCTCCACCCTAAATGACTAATAGCTCCACCCCAAAAGACCAATAGCTCCACACTAAATGACCAATAGCCCCACCCTAAAGTACTGAAAGCTCCACACAAAAGGACTGATAGCTCCACCCAAAAGGACTGATAGCTCCACCCTAAATTATTGATCTTGATTTCATGTTGACTTTTAAAATCATGATATGTTTTTTAAAAATACATTTCACTTATTTTGGCCCAACTCTGGCTATTAGTATTTTCAGATACAAATAAAATGAGTGAACAGCGGCGTCCTGATGGAAAAGCATCAGTCTGTGTGGATTGACAGGGTAAAGCTGCGAGTGTTTGTGCTGAATCTCCCAGCGATCGATCATTTATAGACTTTACAGCGAGAAGCAAACTCTGGCCGCTGATATGAAGGGCTTGTTCGCTCCAGCGGCGTCTGATGAAACTGGGGATTAATTCTGCATCAATGTCATTTCAAGACCACAGATGAAAGAGCCGTCCAGTACTCACCACTTCCTCATGTGTGCATTTCTCCACGTTAATGCCGTTGACCTGCAGAGAAAGACAAGAGCGACAGGCTTATATAAGCGCACATTATTCCCATCACAAACAACCACATTTAATATGGTGATTATATTACACTTAGATTTTATGTACTGTAACAAAACCAGGCAATTTATAATTAGAATAAAAACAAAATAACAATTTACACAAGTCATAACTTAATATATATATATATATTACATTTTAATTATATTGTCTGTAACACAACCAGTCAATTTATTATCAAAATAAAAAATAATAGTAATTTATACATTTCATAATTTATTATAAATAAATTTAACTATATTCACTACGTAACAGTATCTATCTATCTATCTATCTATCTATCTATCTATCTATCTATCTATCTATCTATCCATCTGTCTATCTATCTATCTGTCCGTCCGTCCGTCCGTCCGTCCGTCCGTCCGTCCGTCCGTCCGTCCGTCTGTCTATCTATCTATCTATCTATCTATCTATCTATCTATCTATCTATCTATCTATCTATCTATCTATCTATCTATCTATCTATCTATCTATCTACAGAGAGAGCAAGAAAATACATACATTTTTTTATGATAGAAATTAATAAAATATAATTATATAATAAATAAAAATTAAATAAATAAATAAATAAAAACAAAAAAATGACAAAAAAGGTAACAATTCATAATTGTTTTTTAATATATATTGACCGGCCATTTCATTAGGTACACCTATCCAACTGCTCATTAACGCAAATTTATAATCGGCCAATCACATGGCAGCAACTCAATGCATGTAGACAAGGTCAAGACTACCTGCTGCAGTTCAAACCGAGCATTTCAGAAACGGCTGATCTACTGGGATTTTCACGCACAACCATCTCTAGGGTTTACAGAGAATGGTCTGAAAAAGAGGAAATATCCAGTGAGCGGCAGTTCTGTGGACGCAAATGCCTTGTTGATGCCAGAGGTCAGAGGAGAATGGCCAGACTGGTTCCAGCTGATAGAAAGGCAACAGTAACTCAAATAAGCACTCATTACAACCGAGATCTGCAGAAGAGCATCTCTGAACACACAACACGTCCAACCTTGAGGCGGATGGGCTACAGCAGCAGAAGACCACACCGGGTGCCGCTCCTGTCAGCTAAGAACAGGAAACTGAGGCTACAATTCACACAGGCTCACCAAAACTGGACAATAGAAGATTGAAGAAACGTTGCCTGCTCTGATGAGTCTCCATTTCTGCTGCCAATTTCGGATGGTCGGGTCAGAATTTGACATCAACAACATGAAAGCATGGATCCATCTTGCCTTGTATCAATGGTTCAGGCTGCTGGTGGTGGTGGTGTAATGGTGTGAGGGACATTTTCTTGGCACACTCTGGGCCCATTAGAATTAATTGAGCATTGTGTCAACGCCACAGCCTACCTGAGTATTGTTGCTGAACATGTCTATTATGACCACAATGTACTCATCTTCTGATGGCTACAGCAGAATAACACACCATGTCATAAAGCGTGAATCATCTCAGACTGGTTTCTTGAACAGAACAATGAGTTCACGGTACTCAAATGGCCTCCACAATCAACTGAGCTCAATTCAGTAGAGCATGTTTGGGATCATGTCAATGTGGAGCAAAATCTCTGAGGAATATTTCCAGACTCTGTGATGAATCTATTCCACCAAGGATTAAGGCAGATCTAAATATATATATATATATACATATATATATATATATATATATATATATATATACATATATATATATATATATACATATATATATATAAAGTTTGTTTTGGTATTTTTTAAATCTTACTTATTCTTTTTAAATTTACATTTCATTCCCCTTAAACAGTCAACTACGATAAAAAGGGTAAAAAAAAAAAAAAAAAAAGAGTTAAGAGTCAACTCAACAAAAGCTGTGTAGCAGAATCAACTTTTGTTTTGTTTGTTTAAAGTGCAGGAGCCCAAGACTGACCTGCAGAACAGCGTCTCCGATGAACAGCTTCCCAGTCTGATCAGCTGAGGAGAAAAACACATCATTTAACTCATACAGACACAGCAGTTTAACACAAATCCGCCATTGTGACAGACTTTATCATCTTTCAGATGTCCAGCAGTGGAGAGAGATTTCTATTGAAGCATCAGAGGAGACAGAAGAGACAGCAGGAGGATAATAACAACTGCAGATGCATATTTATGAAACTTTTTTTTGTACAGTAATTTAACAATAATTAAAACACATATGAATTATAATGCCTAAATAAAGTGACCATGCTTTTAAATAATGTGGCATCAGATTAAATGTAATTTATCACATTTAGTGTAGATTTAGACATTTTCACTCGGAAATTAAATTGTACTTACAAAGAACCTGCAAGCAATGCACTGAACTGAATATTTAGATTTTATTTTTTTTACACTGTAGAACAAATATACATAAATTTAATATTAAAAATATAAAATGAAATGCAATTCAACTAGTAAAAAGCAATTCAATAGATAAAATAAAATAAATATATATATATATATATAAAATGTAGTTGTAAAATAAAATAAAAATAAAAAAAGAATTAAATTTAATTAAAAATTAAAATAAAATGTATTTGTAGTAAAATGCAATCCAATAGATACACCCGTATATATTCCCCCACAGTCCAAAGAAATGCGGTACAGGTGAATTGGGTAGGCTAAATTGTCCGTAGTGTATGAGTGTGTGTGTGAATGTGTGTGTGGATATTTCCCATAGATGGGTTGTGGCTGGAAGGGCATCCACTGCATAAAAACTTGCTGGGTAAGTTGGCAGTTCATTCCGGTGTGTTGACCCCAGATTAATAAAGGGACTAAGCCGACGAGAAAATGAATGAATGAATGAATAAATTAAAACAATGTAGTTGTAGTAATAACCAATTCAAAAGATAAAAAAAAATAATAATTAAATAAAAATGAATAAATAAATATAACACTTTATTTTGAGGGTCTATTTGAGTATTGGTAGACAGTCTGCTTAATATCTGTCAGAATTATTAACCCCCTTTGAATTATTATAATTTTGACCTAAAATGGTTTTATTCTAGCTGAAATAAAACAAATAAGACTTTCTACGGAAGAAAAAATATTATCGTACATTTTGTGAAAATGTCCTTGCTCTGTAAAACATCTAATAGATAATATTTAAAAAAGAAAAATTCAAAGGGGACTAATATTTCCGAATGTGTGTGTGTGTGTATGTATGTATGTATGTATATATATATATATATATATATATATATATATATATATATATATATTTTTTATATCTTAATGCAACATATAAAGTAAAATATTAAATATAATGTAGTTGTAGTAATATCCAATCCAAAAGAAAAAAATTATATATATATATATATATATATATATATTAGATGAAATGTAAAAATTAAATAAAAAGTTAAATAAATACACTAAGATTTAAAAAATAAAAAATATATAAAAATACAACATATAAAAAAAATATGAAATAAAATGTAGTTGTAGTAATATCTAATCTAATAAATAAAAAATAAAATTAAAAAAACAAATTAAATTAAAAAGTAGTACATTAAATAAAGCAATTCAATAGACAAAAAATTATAAAATAAATAAATTTACATACATAGAATAAAAATATAAAAACTAAAACAAAGGATAAAAATATATAATATAAACATAAATAAATAAATAAAAACACAATAAAATAAAAATATTAAACTAAAAAAATAGAAAACAAAAAATATAATTAGTTGCAGTAAAATCCAATCCAATAGATAAATTAAAAATAAATACATAAAATAAGATATAAAATAAAATATAGTAAAATGCAACAAAAATTAAATCAAATAAAAAAACTGAATAAATTAAATTATAGTTGTGGCAAAAAAAATAAAAAAATCAGAGATAAAATACATTAAAATAAAAAAAAAATCTAATTAAATTAAACGTAGTTCTAGTAAAATCCAATCCAATAGATCGAATTTAAAATAAATAAATACACTAAGATAATAAGATAATAAAAATAAAATATAAAATAATTTAGCACTTAAAATAAAATGTGAAATAAAATAAAGATATAGTCGTAGTAAAAAACACTGCAATACTGTCTAAAATTCCAGAAAAGTCTGTGGATGTGTCTCTCTTGTCTTCTTACCTACTTGATCTTTGAATATCTTGGAAATCACCACAGGCACTTTATGTTCTGCTCCCCCCTAAAACACATGAAGAGCCGTCAGAAAAGCATCAGAGACTGCCGAGAACGAAACTAATGAAGCTCTTTCATCTGTAATATCAGAAACACCTCAACACTTTATTAAAGAAGATGAAGACGAACTTACTTTGATACTCAGACCCAGACCTCCAGTCGCCTGCCTTCTCAGTACAACAGTTCTGTGCTTTAGAAAAGGGGGATTTAGTTGGTAAAATATTCACCGCATCAGATACATCACAGGAATTAATTGAGGTGGTGATGCTTTAATTAAACCATCAGAATCATAATATGTTCATAATGACGCTATCAGGCAGAAAGTAAAAAAGCAAACAAATTCAGAAAATTTTACTGTTGATATAAACATATGATTAAAAAAAATGAATACAACATTCTTATAAAAGAATAAAAAAAAATCAATAGATTAATAAATACATGCTTTACTGTTTACTTTTTTTGCATAAAAAGCCATTAGCCACCTTAAAAATCTGATCTTAAAGCCACCTTAAAAATCTGACAAAATAAAATGTCAATTCACAAAATAATGATTAAATATAAATAAAAACAAATACTTTCAAATATATATTATATCAGGCAAAAAACAAATAACTAACTCTTAGATTTTTAATTTTATTAAAAATAAATAAATATAGTAAATATTTGTATTGCTAACACATTAAATAATGTTTAATAAGTATTATAAAATATATAAAACAAAATAGTTAAATCAGTAATAGTAATATTAGTAAAATCAGTTAATATCAGAAAAAAACAACAACAAAATATGAGTTAAAAATGATTTCTTCAGCTGTATTTATTTTCTATAATAAATATACTTTTCAAATAATCGATTTTAAATCGCATTTAAAATAATAAAAAACACTCCATTAATATTCTACATATTCTGTAAATAGACTCACATTAAAACAATAAGATAAAATATTATTCAAAGAATAAAAAGATAATAAGTTACAATAAAATGAAAAATGATTAAAAATTGAATAATAAAATAAATCCAATAAATATTAAAATATAATTAAAAGATAGATCAATACAAGTGTCAAATAAAATGAATGAAAAATAAGATCAAATAAGAAAATTAAACAGAATTATATAAAAATATATAAAAATTAAAATAAACACAAATTAAAATCAGATCAATTTAAATTAAATAAAAACTAATAAAATTAAATAAAACAGATTAATAAAATTATCAAATAAGATGAATAAAATAAGACAAAATAACATTAAATAAAAATAAGATAAAATAAAACTAAATTTAATATAATTTAATTAAAAATAAATTGATAAAAATAAAAGATAAAAGAAAAAAGAAAAAAATAAATAAAATTATATAAGATTAAATTTAATATTAAAAAAATAAAACATATTAAAATGAGTAAATAAGTAATAAATAAAATAAAATAATTTAATAAAATTATCAAATAAAAGAGTTAAAAATAAGATAAAATAAAATCAAACAAAATTTAATTTAAAAGTAAAATGAAATCAATTATGTTTTACATAATAAAAAGGGCAAAAATCGCGCTTCTAACTGCATCAAACAAACGCAGGCTTATAGGGTATATGCAGAAGATGCAGAAGGACTTTTCATTTTTTAGTAACCTGGGTTAAGTGCTTCCAGTGAACTGAATGACGTTAAAAATCAGTGAGTTTAAGGCCTATTTTCTTTCAAAATCAATGATCTACACTGCCTGATTGATAGACACTATAAAGTGGGTCTCAGATTGTACAAGAAGCACTGCACTAAATTACATGTTCCCGCGCCATGTCTTTAAAATATGAACATTAATTTTCAATGGAGTTTCTATGTTCGCCTGCTGATCCTGACGGTGCGTGCGTGTAAAAGGCTTTTCATCTCATTTTACACTTGAACAACTAAATGAATGCTGAAGTCTGTTTAACTGACTATATTTTATTGGTAATACAACTTCAATGCTGTAAAAGGAACCGTATCAAATGGATAAATGTTACATTAACCGTTCACCAGAAGTTTATCAGTATGGGAAGAAACACTAGCTCTGCATATACCCTAAAGAAGTTCGACAATTTACTGTAGTGATTTATTAATCTGGCCAAATTTCCATCAGGATCAGTCAATCCACACCAAAACACTTCATAAAGCTGAAAATCTAATTCAAAAGACTATCAATTTCTCAAAAACTAAGACATAACTCAACTTCCTATCAGACAGAAACACACAATAAACAACACCATCAGAACGCAGACACTTTCCTTATTTACTTCTGAATGTATTTCTGGGTCAAACTGACTCTAAATGACAAAGTCATAATCCAAAAAATCCTCTCTAAACTCACTGCATTATGACTATATTGGACGTATTGTACACATTTAATGAGTTTCTCTGAGCGCTGACAGCATGATTTCTGAATATAGAGGCTGATGTCATTTCTGAAATATGATGATGGCGTCTCAAGCCTGAAACAATGCTTTTGACATGGACGTCAAAGATGATGAGCATTTATGTTTGATGCATCTCCATCTGTAATCGATTGCTATGAAAACACACTTCTGCTGGCAAACGAGATGCTTGATGATGAGCTTTGGAAAAAGTGACACTTTAGAGAGAATATATGAGGCTTTAGCAGAGTTTATCATTCATTTAATGAGTTATGTGTGAGTCCAGAGCACTTCATAAATGTCCATGCCACAATTTGACTTAGCATAATGCTACAATAAATAAATAAAAACTTTTATTAAATGGGTAAATGGATCATCGATTCACTGACTCAATTTGTTCAAAAGAGTTGACTCATTTTTAAACAAATTGATTGATTGATTGCCTCTATGAATGGATCATTGATTCACTGACTTGATTGATTGATTCAAATCTGCTGATTCATTACAAAATAAATCAAGCTTGTGTCTTTACAAATGGATCATTGATTCACTGGATTAATCGATTCATTCAAAACTGCCGATTCATTTAAAAAAATATCAAGTGACTATAAATAGATAATTGATTCACTGACATAATTGATTAATTCAAAACTGCTGATTAATTATCAAACAAATTAATTGTTTGTCTTTATGAACGGATGATTCAGTGGGTGATTTATTTGATTCATTCAAAACCGCTAACAAAAAACTAATCAAGTGAGTCTACAAAGGCATTATAAATTCACTGACTTAAACAACTCTTTCAAAACAGCCGATTTATTTCAAAATAATTTAAGTGACTCTACAAATGGATCATTGATTCACTGACTTAATTTATTCATTCAAAACTGCTGATGCATTTCAAAACAAATCAAGAGGTTATAAATGGATCTTTGAGTCGCTGACTTAATCGATTCAAACCTGCTGATTCATTATCAGACAATTCAAGTGAGTGTCTTTACGAATGGATCATTGATTCGCTGACCTAATCGATTAATTCAAAACAGCTGATTCAATATAAATCAAATCAAGCGACTGTCTTTATGAATGGCTTATTGATTCACTGACTTAATCGATTCATTGAAAACTGCCAATATAAAACAATTCAAGTGACTCTACAAAGGCATAATACATTCACTGACTCAAACAACTCTTTCAAAACAGATGATTAATTTCAAAACAAATCAAGTGACTGTACAAATGGATGACTGATTTAATGACTCAGCTGATTCTTTCAAAACAGCTGATTTGTGTCAAAACAAATCAAGTGACTGTCTCTACAAATAAATAACTGATTCACTGACTCGTATGACTCTTTCAAAACTGTTGATACATTCAAAACAAATCAAGTGGCTGTCTCTACAAATAGACAACTGATTCACTGACTCAGATGATTTTTTTTTAAAACAGCTGATTTGCTTCTACATAACTCAGAAAACTGTCTCTACCAATGGATCATTGATTTGCTGACTCAAACAATTCAATCAAAAAAGCTGCTCCATTTCAAAACAAATCAAGTGACTCAACAAATCCCTTTCAAAACAGCCGGTTCGCTTCAAAACAGCTCAAATCACTCTCTCTACAAACGGACAACTGATTCACTGATTCAAAGGACTCCTTCAAAACAGCTGATTCATCTCAATTCAATTCATTATCAAACAATTTATTATCAAACAATCAATTGACTGTCTCTACAAATGGATCATTGATTTTCTGGCTTAAATGATTCACTCAAAACAACCGATTCATCATAAAACAAATCAAGTGACTGTCTCTTTAAATAGATCTTTGATTTGCTGGCTTAATCGATTCATTCAAAACTGCTGATTCATCATAAAACAAATCAAGTGACTGTCTTTACAAATGGATCATTGATTCGTTGGCTTAATTAATTCATTCAAAACTGCTGATTCATTTTAAAACAAGTCTAGTGACTATAAATGGATCATTAATTAACTGACTTAATTGATTCATTCAAAACTGCCAATATAAACCAATTCATGTGACTCTACCAAGGCATAATAAATTAAATTTCAAAACAGCAGATTCACTTGTAAATAACTCGGAAAACTGTCTCTACCAATAGATCATTGATTTGCTGACTCAAACAATTCAATCAAAAAAGCTGCTCTGTTTCAAAACAAATCAAGTGACTCAACAAATCCCTTTCAAAACAGCCAATTCGCTTTAAAACAGCTCAAATCACTGTCTCTACAAACAGACAACTGATTCACTGACTCAAAGGACTCCTTCATAACAGCTGATTCATCTCAGAACAAATCAAGTGACTATAAATGGATCATTGATTCGCTGGCTAAAAATGATTCATTAAAAACTGCCAATTCATTATAAAACAAACCAAGTGACTCTCTACAAACGGATCATTAATTTTCTGGCTTAACTGATTCATACAAAACAACTGATTCATTATAAAACAAATCAAGTGACTGTCTCTTTAAATGGATCTTGGATTTGCTGGCTTAATCGATTCATTCAAAACTGCCGATTCATTATAAAACAAGTCAAGTAACTGTCTATACAAATGGATCATTAATTCGCTGGCTTAATGGATTCATTCAAAACCACGAATTCATTATAAAACAAATAAAGTGACCGTCTCTACAAATGGAGCATTGATTCTCTAGCTTAACTGATTCATTCAAAACCACTGATTCATTATAAAAAAAAAATCAAGTGACCGTCTCTACAAATGGATCAATGATTGATTCATTCAAAACTGCAGATTCGTTTCAAAACAAATTAAGTGACTATAAATTAATAATTGATCCACTGACAATTGATATTATGAATACATCAGATTTGTTTCAAAACAATTCAAGTGACTGTCTCTACAAATGGATCATTAATTCACAGAATTAATCAATTAATATAAAACAGCCATTTTGTTTAAACACATCAAGAAAGCGTCTCTACATAACAAAAGCTGATTCACAAAACAGCCAATTCATTTGAAAAGAATCAAGGGACTCAAATGACTTTCAAAACAGTTGATTCGTTTAAACAAATCAGGTGACTCGAATGAAAAACTGATTCACAGACTCAAACGACTCTTTCAAAACAGCTGATTCATTTCAAAACAAATGAATGTTGATGTTTAAAAGCAAAAACTGATGATTATGGCAAGAAATATTACATTTCCCCAACAAACTGGAGCTTTGGGTATAATCCCAATGCACTGAGCTGGACACAAATTAAAGAATAAACAAATAAATAAAAAAACAACCTTTAAAAAAAAGCATCATATTGCATTTTTAAACCATGATGTATCAAGCCAAAGGTAAAGACTCAGTACTTACATTTAAATGAGATTCGATGCCACTCGCACAAACCACGTCCTGTTTCTGTATGATTAACAAATCTTTCGTTAACTTTAGGCGAACGTCGTATGTGTTACTTGTGTGCTCGTCGTACAAGAGGGCAAGTCCGGTTTTTGTCTGTTGAAAAAAAAATAATAATAATAATAAGCAAATAATTAGATTTTAAGATTTATACTCAAGATCAAAACATGCAAAACAAATAAATAAAAAAAAATCATACATCTTCAGACACAGTTTATTATAAAAAAACATATGCATCTATTTGATTTTATTTAAATCATCATTTTAAAAATGCATGTATTCAAAAAACTGCACAAAATTTGCATTAATTAATGTTTTGCGGAAACAAACATTTCATTTTTATACTAAGAGTATTGTGTAGAAAATCATTATTTCATCCATTTAAAATGCAAATATTTGCACTAATATGCATCACAAAAAGTTTAGATTGCATTACAATACATTACAACATTGGTTTAATTGAAAACTGTGCATTTCAAAAGAATGGAAAACAATGTAATTCAGCGACGCTAATGATAAACAGGCCTTACAGAAGTGAATCAATTAAACAAGTAATATTTAAATAAAAAATATATTAAATGAATAAATATATCTAAATAATTCACTTACTAAAAAGGTGTAATCCAAATAGATGGTATGTTATATGCAATTCAAAAATATGAATTGAGTTGATCAGCTAATAAAGCGATTCATTTAGTACTAAAATGATTAAATAAATATTGAAAAAATGCTCCAACTAAATTACTGTAATCAAAAATATTGGATATGCAGAGAATAAAATCTTAAATTTAGGGTGACGAAAGTTTAAATTGACACAAATATAATGAAAACACACTGTAACATACAGTCTGGAGGTGAAATTCCATTGTTACCCCTAACCTCAGGGTCTGGATTTGTTCTTCGTGAGTTTATGACACCAGGCGAGTCTACCGGTGAAAGTTACTCCGTGACATCTTATATCTTATCTACCAGGATGCTCGCCAAAGCTAGAGTTGTCCCATCTTCAAAGACATTCCAAAGAAAAAAGCCGTCCATTCTGGGACCCACACACACACTCAGAGACACGCTATTGAAATGGACTCATAAAAATCTCAAAATTCAGCCCAAAATACATGTAATGTGTTTGTAACCTTTGTGTTCTCTTCCTTAATTTCTCTTTTATGTCTTACACCAGTATATTGTCAGGGTTGTGGATGGGAAAATGGGGAAAAAGGAGCGAGGACTCAAATGCAGGGAAACGGGAATTTATAAAATAATAAAAATAAAATAAAATGCAAAACAAACTACCCCGAGGAGGAAAACATTAACAAAACAAATACATACACAAACAAACTGGACTGGGCAGGCTGGCAAGGATCAGGACTGGAAACACGACAGGACAAGACTTCAAACAACGACATGTGATGACGAACTGGCACAGGGCAGCAAACATGAGGGGTTTATAAACTGTAGGAAATTAACACAAACAGATGAACATAATTAACTAATAATGGGTTAACAATGAGGGTGGGGCTAGACAATAGACAGGAGAGCGCATGACAGAGACAAGACAAGCCATGCGCTCACATAAAACAAGACTAGAACACGCAGCCAATGAGAGAACTCATTAACCGCGTGTTCATAACACCACAAGCACGCGGCGCATGTAAACACGCACCACACAAACACAACACACAACAGAAGACTGAACGAAAGACACGAGTACACGATGAATGAAAACACTCACCGTGCACTCACACACGCAGCGTGCATGTTTCATCCTAGCGCCGACCAAAACTGAAACCAACTGGACTGAGACGCTGGGAATGAAACCCCACGCTGTAGACAGACGAAAACACACGAGTACAAGAGCGCGCGCGTCCGAGGCACGCAGAGCCTGCGCAGCCGCATCAAGCGGGAGTGCGCACACTCTGCGTACACCCACGACGGCGCGCGCACACACAGAGACACACACAATGACAGAAACAGGACGAGACAGAGCTAGTGTCCGAGTGTCCGAAAACAAGAATCTACAAGACCAGAGTGGCAGAACACTGACATATATGGCCTTTTCAAGACATTAGACAAACTTAGAAAGCATGAATTATGTTATGGATTTCTAAAAGTGTCATGTTTGGTGTTTTTTTTCCATACATAATGCCGAGTTCAGACTGCATGATTTTCAAACTAGTCGTGTCACAGATGTTTTCACACTGCATGACTATCTGGGCTAGCGTTTCGTCGCTGCTTTGTTTACACTGCAAGATGGTTCGGCGACATGGACATTTACATTGCATGACTTTACTATAGGGAGAATCGCCGACAACTTTGTCCAAACTACGTCTCACAGCCAAAAACACGTCGTATATCTTTTGTTATTAACTACATAATGAGAAAGAAGCCTTTAATGGGGTAGAACATGTACATGTTTGCTCAACTGGGTTTAAAGGGAATTAGCCATTTCTCCTCAACGTTGATAATAAACTAATTTATTTCTGTATGAAACGTCAAACAGACACGGTTGCTCCTGAGTCCTGTCAAACCTCCACTAGTTTTTCCTCCATTTCGTGGGTCCAAATAAACCGAAAAAGAGCGTTTTTAACTTCTCCCCCAGCCTCCCGCTGGCCTGCAGCAGGTATACACACACGCACACACAAGTGAAAGCTGCTCTCTCATTGGCTGTAGGCGATGGCTGATGTTATTTTCAGTCAAAACTCAATTCACACGGCATGATTTGAATCGCCGACAGCTCCAGATATTCAGCACGCCAAATATCTCACAGGCATCGGCGACTCATCAGCGATTCTCTCAGATCGCGTCTTTGATCGTTCATACTGTGTGATTGTCACTCACATGCACGAGCAGCGATTTGCCTGTGATTTCAGGCATTTGGCGGCGATTTCTCAAAACCTGTCGGCGAGCCAAAATGGGGGTTAAAATCACGCAGTCTGAACTAGGCATAACTCTACAGCTCATGATCTAAGACACAGGATGATAAATTGTATGCTTGGTATAATTTCAAACCATGGGTAAAGTTTTTTCATATCTGTCTTGAGACAGTACAGACCATGGAGGAGGAACAAAGAAAAATTTTCCCGCGCAACTTTTCCTCTCATGCCATTTGTCATTCAGGAGAGATTGGAAGTTACCCGACCAAAACCTTTAAATAGCTGTTACACCCCCACGTCATCGCAGAAGGTTCCTGACACAAAGGGCAGACCGCGTTTCTGTACCCACGTGACTCGCCTAAGCCAACGTTTCTTATTTTTCTTATATGTTTGCGTCTCACATTTGATTCGATCTGCATCACAAACCCCACACAAATGACAGAAAACTTAAAAGACTTCATCTTCTAAGCATCAGAGAAACTTGCACAACAAGAGACAGAGAGACCCACTAAATACAGGTATTTAGTCGTGCGTTATGCTGTGCCCTTTTAGGGTGTTTACATACTTGGTGGTTCTTAATAGTTGTGCGAGACTGAGATGCCTTCTTTCATCTAAACTCTCAGTTTTCTATGTTGTTTTTATGTTTCGTACATTTGTTGGTTATATATTAAACTAGTCAATAAATCACGCTATAACCACGTTGGATTGTCTTTGCTTTGCTTCACAGAAAAAGCCACTTTAATAATAGTCCCTTGCTACCAGCATAAGTTTACTAAAACCTCTAAACAATTCATCCACTTCAAAAGTAGCAGCTATAATTCCCTTTCTAAATAAATAATTACAGAGTCCGCAAAGTCATTGATATATTTATTAACTTAAATTAACTACAAGTTTATTCTGAATATTCATTCATTTTCTTTTCGGCTTATTCCCTTTATTAATCCAGGGTCGCCACAGCTGCAACCCATCTCTGGGAAATATCCATACACACTCACACACTACGGACAATTTAGCTTACCCAATTCACCTGTACCACGTGTCTTTGGACTGTGGGGGAAACCAGAGGACCCGGAGGAAACCCACTTGAACGCAGGGAGAACATGCAAACTCCACACAGGAATGCCAACTGACCCAGCCGAGGCTCAAACCAGCCACCTTCTTGCTGTAAGGTGACTGCACTACCTACTGCGCCATCGTGTTGCCTAATTCTGACTATTCATAACTAATAATACTGTTATGGCCCAAAACTCAAAACTGGCTCGATTAACAACAACAATAAAGGTTTGAGCCAAACATATGAAAGACACAGACGATTGAATCAATAAATTGACGTCCCGTCAATACGTTTAATTTTCAAAAATCCTAAGTGAAACATTAACAAAAATCAAGTAGACAGGTAGCGCAGCTAAGTTAAACAGGTGTAAAACAGACTAACTGTTTTTAAATGGACAGATCTTACCTAAACTCCCCTGAAAGGAATAAACAACAGATGAGCCTTCCGGACCACTGCTTACCTTCGCTAAACTAAATAAATAACAGAACGTGACTACGAAAAATAATCCACTACCTGCTACGAAAACAAAGTATCAAAATAAATAAAATAGTTAACACATTAAAAATACTAAAGAATCAAAAGGTTAACAAGAACAAAACACTGAAGAGAGCGGCACTAAAGAGAGCACACTAAAGAGCGCCTGAGCGCAAGTCACCACCGAGCTGTGGGAGAGCGAGACTGCGAGAGAGGCAGAGAGAGACTGAGCCGCCATTGCTGTCAGCCTTATATACTGGGAATCCCCAGTGATGTCACGGGCGTCATCCAATCCTGGACAAGCCGGGTAGAAACACTCCTCCTATAACTCGAGCGCAACAAGCACAAACCGGCAACAAATAAATAAATGAATTAAATAACACAGACGCGCGTAACAAATACCTTGTTATTACTGATCATCAGGTCTTAACATTAACTTTTTTGACCACCAGCCACTGTGGCTAGTAGTTTTCCAACATTACTAGCCACTCGCCATTTTCACTAGCCACAATTGTAGTGTTGGGAAAATATATTTTATACACATAAATATGACATTGACATGCTAAAACAGGGCTCAACAATAAGGACTGCCCGGTGGCCCGGGGCCAGTGTGAAAGACACTCGGGACAGTAGACAGGATTGTTACTGGCCCCTATCGGCCAGTAACGTTGAGCACGTTTTTTTTTTTTTTTTTTTTTTGT